ATCAGAGATAACTCAACTGCCTTGAAAGGATTTTATTTTAAAATTATATATGGTTTATTATCAATTTGTATTAGAGACAGGTTCCTTCTAGTTTAGTATTTGAAAGAACCATTGAAGTTTTTTCTAAACAATATTCTCTAAAAAGACAAATATAATGGTTAGAACCAGACTCTGGAGTCTGGGTTTAAATGGAGGTTGTGCCCCTTGCTGGTATTTTACCTCAGGCAAGTTATTGAGCATCTGTGTCCTACATTGTCCTTATGTGTGCATGGCAATAAAAATGGTTACTAGTGCATATGCTTGATTTTAGAGCTTAATTGGATTATAGGTGAGTATGCCTTGCATGGTGCCTAGGTTATTGAGAACCACAAATTAACAATAATCATTATCTTTATTCTGTTAAAGTGTAATTGATTTAAAGTGTACTAGTAGTTGTTAGGAGTAGTAGTAATGTATTACAAACAATTCACCATGGGTCCCCCCAATAACTCACAAATATATATATTCCCCCATATACTGTGTATGTGTGTGTGTGTGTATTTCAACACTCATAGAAAGCAATAATTATAGTATTTTATGAATGTTCCTGTTTATATATATATATATATATATATATATATATATATATATATAAAATTTGAAAACTGTCTTTTTAAGGAATTCTTTATAAGCCACAAAAGAGTATAAGAAAATGTCTCAAGACCTAAAAAATTAAATACATTTCAGAATTAATGCTATTCATATAATTTCATTTTACTACCCCCCCAAAAAAGCATGAGAAACATAGCTCTTTGATTAAAGCCTATTAAATCCCATACCTGAGTCAAAAGTTTCTCCTGTTTTTCTTTATTGTTGTCAGGAACCTAGAAGAAACCTAGCATAAGTGAGAAACAAAGATTTTGAAATTTTTGCTCACATTTTGAGTCCTCCCCCCGTTCCTTTCTCCTCCCCCTCTTCTTCCTTCTTCCTCAGTCTCCTCCTCCTCTTCTTCCTCCTTCTCCTTCTTTTTCTTTTCTTCTCAGAATAGCTGGTCTAAATGGGAAAATAATCAATCATCTGGATGATCCAAACCTCTTTCATGCAGGTGACAGAACTGGATCCTGGATGGTACTAGTCGGTGGGATGCCATTCTCTAGGATGACTTGTAGTAGCATACAAATCAAGGGTAATTTAGGTATCAATTTGTCCTCACCTTCTTTAATCACTAAATGTGGTATATATAGACACAAATTATGTGATACAAGGCATCCAAAATGAATGACAAGTAAAGATATCAGCAGTCTTAGCCTTCAAAATTCAACAGCAACAATGGTGGCAGCAGCTGTAACAGCAGGTCATATTGATGGGACACTTGAGATCCTCCAGACTGGACATCCCTGGAATAGCAGGAGTTGAAAAGGGATTAGTGAAACTGAAATTCCATGGCTACCATAGACAAAATTTAGTTCTAAAAATATTCATTATCATTGTTATTATGATGGTTTGGCTTATTAATGGTTTTAGTCATAATGCTCTTGAAATATAGTCCCATGCTGTTCACTTATAAATGATGTTTATAACATTATTTTTGTGTATAATGCCCAATTGGAAAAGCTAAGGGTATAATCCTATTTCATTGAAAAAGTGACACTGGAAATCACTTAAAAACCTCTTATTTAAACACCAAGTACACACATTTTTACATGACCATATTGTAACCTCTGCTGAAGTCAGCTATAGAGACAGGTAAAGGTATACAGTATCTATGACTTGTTGATACTATGTGTTTTTCCAAGAGCATGATTTCAAAAGTAGGCAAAGTGTGTACATTTAGCCAGGGAGGATTTGAAATGCTGTGGCAACTAATAAATCAGGTAACTTAATATAACATGTTTATTTCCTGCTCATATGAAATCTACTGGTGGTCTGGGTAATTTTACTGGGCAACTGCCCTCAGTGTAGTGATTTCAAAATGTAAGATGCTTCAGTCTCTTGGCTTCACCATTACAATGTTAAGTTTCCCTCCTTTGCTACAGAAAGAATTTGAGAAATAGAGGGTTTCTTAGGAGTACCTATCTCATTCTCTCAGTTCAGCTATCATACACATTTCCACTGCTCATCTTAGAGTAGAATTAGCCAAATGGCTTCAAGTACTGCTACGGGAATGGGAAGTACAGTGTTCCATATGTCCAGGAAGGAAGAAAAGAAGGGATATAATTTCTTGAGTGTCTTGGTGAATATAGTCAAGGTATGCAAGGAAATTTTAAGTGGTGTAGAGAAAATTGTTCACAATTTTGTTTGCTTTTGCATGTATTTGGAAAACATTAGAGCACATCAAGCCTATGAGATAAGGGTTTTATTTTATACAAATTTAAATTGAACTATGTTATTATAATAGCAATGGCAAGTGTAACAAATGGATATCTAATATTTGGGTAACACTGGCCTAAAGAACCTCTGTAAAAAATTTCCATGTGTAGAAGTTTAGGCAAAATAGGAATATGGGGTGGGGGATAGTAATCAGCTCTTTTAAATATTCAGCATGATTCAACAACAGATAGTCTGGGACCACCTACACAGAAGAATTGTTCTAGCGAGCAATTGCCCTTCTTCTATTAAAATTGTGTGATCAGTGACAGAACCCCTTATGGGGGACACTGGGACTCGTGGTAAGTATTCAGTTTTCTCCCTTTTTTTTTCTCACTATTAGATTGAGGTTTCTCTTTGTAGAATGGTGTAAGGCAAGCAACAATGGAATATTTTGGAATGAGGCATCCTACCTGACAGGCAATATCTTCATTATTGACATTTTCTTACCAGTTTTCCATGTCACTGGATATTGTTCAAGCTGGTAGCCTGGCTCTTCTCAATTCCAATACAGTATCACTAGATATTGTTGCTAATCACAAAGATCTTCAGTCCACTGAAACTCTTCACCCACTGCTGGAATAAATCAGGTGTTTATTTGGGTGGGGTAGGGGGTGATGAGGATTGAACTCAAGGCCTCCTGTATCTTAGGTAAGAGCTCTATCATTGAACTATACTCCTGGCTCAGTATGTCATCTTAAAAATTTCCATCTTCAAAGGTGTAAAATTTTCGATTTTCCAAAAGTGTCTAGAAATCTCTCCCAAGTAGTATGATTTTGATATCCTGATTTGCTATAATATTCTAGGTTTATATGTAATTATAAATAGATGGTCCTAAAGTCACATGGGGAAACCCAAGGCTATGGATAGTTCTGAATGTTCAGGGGTTTTTTGTTTGTTTGTTTGGTTTGTTTTTAAATAGGCTTTTTTTTTTTTATGTTTTGTGTGAGATAGAGAGAAAGGTAGAAGGTCATAGATAAGATTAAAGGGAATATGCAATGATGGTGATGACTGATGAATAAACAAAAGCACATTTTGAGGAACCCAAAGAAATCCAATGTTCTGGCATGTATTTCAGAATTGCCCTAACCTAAACTGAAGGATGATATACGAAACTGAAGACAAACCTGACATTCATAGCATATATTTCCCCATTGGCATTTAAAGATGTGACTTTGTGTCTTAATGAAATGGTTATAATGTCTTATATTGCCTCAATTTCATAAATAGAGTAGGACAGGCATTGTGCAATCTTAGAATTTCAGTTGTATAGGGATATTATTTATAATAAAACTTATAGGTACCATATTTATTTCCCCAGAATCCTACCATTAGGTAATGCATATAAAAATTGCTATTTACTCTTCAATTCTGGAAGAAAGTAAAGGAGGATTTGTAAGATACAGTATATCACAATTAGGTCTGTGGCTCATCAGCCTGGCTTTTAAAACAGCAAGTGCCTTCAGAGACCACCCCAGGTTAAAAGTCTCTAAATACTTCATTTGCTTTAGGGTTAAATGATGTTTAGAGTTTGTTATCTTTTGTAGACCTTGGAAATCTAATTATTTATAATATCCAGTGACATTTACATTTTGCTAAATATGTTCTGCTTGTATAAGAACACATCATGCTTAGAAAAATGGTACAGAATAAGTGCTTGTACTTTTTGCTTACATACAATGTAAAATATTGAGCTTACCTGAGTTATATTTTTACTATAATCACATGATTTTAAGCACATAATTCTCAAATTATGTGTCCTTACTCATTACCATTTAAAATACAGAAAAAGGAAAAGTTATCATTGTTGATTCCATTTGTTTACCATTTAACTCTCAACTATCAAATCAAATATCTATTCCAGTTCATTGGTATCTTGAAATAATGCCATTCATTTCCATGCCAACCACTCCAGAGTGTTTGGTTTAGTTTTTCAGATTGATTGAAAGTAGATTGTAAAGTTGACCCATTGTGTTAAGCTTATTTACACAAACACAGTATCTTGAAAATAAACTGTGAAAGTGCACAGCAGTTGAATCCTAAGGTAGTTCCCATCCTGAATTTTCTAATAACTGCTTTCCAAGGGAACCATTGGGTAGACAATCTCAACTTTACCCGGTACTTTACTGAGGAGATCATTACTTCGAATTTTTTTTTTCTTAAATTTAAGTAATATTTATGTTTTGCTTTAGAGAAAACAATGAGCTTTTGATTTGAAGAATTTCCCTGAGCAAATAATTTCATTCTGATCTATCTATGAAACAATTACAGATGATTTTCCTTCCCCAGGCTCTTGAAACACTTTCCTCAAAAGAGTTAAAAGATAACATTTCTAAGATGAAAGCAATTAAAAAAAAAACTTAATCGTGAAAAAAGACTGTGGAAACAGTGAATAAATTGATTTGGGTACTGGATGGTTACAAATAGATTCCCTTTAGAATGAAGTTGTATTTATTCAAGGATTAATCTTTGCGACTGAACACTTAGGACCCTTCCTGAGGCCATATGCTTGCCTCAGATATTCCTAAATAATCAGACTATTATATATGGTTCCCTCCACCCCACCCCCACTCCACGTTCACTCCCCCCCCCCGCCCCGCCCCGCCCCCGCCCCGCTAAACGCGGACTTGTCCGCAGACGCTGAGTAACGTGGGCCAGATATACATGGGAGGGAGATGGGTGCAGGGCACGTGGACCAGAAATACTTCCTAGAAACAGCAAGTAGCTGCTCAACCCTGCCTGAACTTTTCTGTAAACACAGTGCACTGACAGACGGCATCCCTGCTGGGTGGATCCCGCACCTCCTAGAGGGAATGGCACTTCTTGTTTTTAATTAGCCAGGGGAAGCGTGAATTAAAACTATCTGTTTGGCAAGTCGGTGCAAGAGACTGACTTCTGAGAGGCTTCAGGGAGACGGAGGGAAGAGCTCCGCGGGGGCAGGTAGCGCGTGTGCTGGGTTTGTTTTCTGAATGAAACGCTGGCCGGTGACTGAAAAGAATACAGCTTCTTCCTCTGTCCGCGGCGTAGTTACTGCAGACAGCTCCAGACAGGACATGGCTCTGAAGACGCCCTCCGCGGAATGCTCTCCTGCTCCAGGCTTTTAAACAACTGTCCTGGGGAGAGGAAGGTTTTACGTGTCCAAATACAGCTTGACAAATGGCACTTTGGAACTGTGCTTTCTGATGACAACACGTTCGATTTCTGACAAAGCCTCTCGCACGCTGCCCCTGGAGGGAAGTCCTAAGTAAAACTCAAACCCGCCTTAAAGTGAGGCTCTAGAGGACTTGCACCCTGAGACCGCAGCATGGCATCCGCCGGACGCGCTATCACCTTGCTCCTGTGGGCTCACCTACTACTGGAGCTTTGGCCAGGAGGTCGCGCAGCGGATACCCCCTACCCCCGGTTACGTCTATCACATAAAGGTAGGTTACCTTTTCAGATCCTTTTGTTTAAAAAAAATGTAAAAGTATGTAGACATTTAACTCAGGTTCATGGTCTGCCAAGACCTTTAAAGTGCACCTGAAACATTTTATTGCAAAACTCACCTAAAAGTCTAAGTACCTGTAATCAACAGGGTATACTTACCTCATCTGAAAATAGTGCAAAATCACAGGTCAACTTACAGATGTTATTTCTGTCTTGTAAATATTAAGTTCACTTACTAGTGGGAAGAACAGAAGAAGCTAGAAAACAGGTTGCAAAAGCCTCAAGAGGCTGAGTCCATCAAGTTAGCATCAGGTATTGAAATACCAATGCATGCATAATGGACTACTGGGAAAAGGCTTTAGAAATAGAGGTACAATTTGTTTTTTATTGAGGATGACAGAAGTCCTCAGAAGAAAAATGACGCCCTGCCCATGATAACAGAATCCTCACCATATATTTTAAATGACTAACAACTGATATAAATTACCTTTCTGGTTGACTTGGTTACTAAAATATGTGTATGTGTGCAAAACAAAAAATGGAGTTTACCTGCAATCATTGTAAACTGACACATCAATTAAAGTATTAGAATTCACTAGCATCCATTCTTTCTTAATGCAAATTCACCTTGCTTTACTGAAGCTCTATCAGAGTGTTTAAATATTTCATCCTGCAATTACGTCTTGTAAAGCAACATCATACTCATAAATAAATGATCAAAAGATAGGATTTGCCTGGGGCTCAGTAAAAGCCAGTCACGAATAGGTTTGGTGATTCCTCCTGTAAACAAACAAACAACAAATGAAACCCAGGCTCTGAGAGAGTGACTTTTGCTGACTTAAAAGAAATTTGGGATCAATTATCAGGAAAGACCTATGTATTATTATGAACCATTGAAGGAGATAACAGATACAATAATGAGGATTGCATAAAAACCATTTATCACTTGTGTAAGCTTTTAAATTATCCCCAACAATGGAAAGAATAGAAGCCCTGTATTTTCCAAATAAAGGTAAAATATTTACCAGAAGGTGGAACAAAAAGAAAGACCTCAAATTTATGTAACATGAATGGTCTTTTTGTCTATTTTATTGGGCAATGGTTAGGGTGATGGTGACTAGAATTTTCTCATTATTATAATGGTTAAAACTATGGATATTTTCTTATTTTAAATAAATTTCCTATAACCTATAAATAATGTAAATTTAAGAAACAGTGACACTAAAAAGTATTTAAAATGTAATATCCAGCATTAACAAAATCTTTTGATTTGGAAAGATGTATCATGATATTTATTTCCAAGAAGTATGATCAAATATATCAAGACCTGAAAATTTGATGTGATGGGATATGGACAAATGAAGATGACAAAAAATAAGGGTAAAAGATTGATTGCTTTTCTTATGTAAACAAGTGGATAAGCTGCCAGTTTTGTCCAGCAACCATTCTGTTATGCCTACTATTAACCTTTTATACCTCATTGCAAAGGTACTTGGGTTGGGGGACCTAAATATCAATATATTTTCCAAGGTACCTCATTTGATATTTCATAGGAGAGCTTGTAATTTGACCATACCATATCAAAACTCTGACAAAAATAATGCATTATATTGTTACCAAGCTATTTTTTATGATGTCTCTCTTAAATAAATACATGTAATTGATTTTATGAGTTATATCATATAGTGTGGGAGTAGGACTGCTGCTATCTATGTGTGTAGTAGACTGAAAACTCCCAAAAGATTTCCCTTTGGCTTTTCTTAACCTTAAGCTTTAATAGAACTCACTGAAAATGCACAATATTATACTTTTATAAAAGACTGTATAGAATTACCTACAAATAGAATGTTCTTACTGGTGCCATTTAGTTAGCACCCTCAGGTACGATATCACACTGGAGATGCAACCTGAAGCAGCAAATGCATGCAGAACCACAGGTGCCTCAGAGAAAAGAAAAACACATGCAGAGTATCAGAGCATCATTTACCTCTCTGCATTCTGGATTTAGTAGACATTTCAGAGGTATTAAAAAAACTAGGAATAGTCAATTTCAGATTAATCTTATGCTCTCTTGAATGATGTCAGTAATGGTGAATTTCTAGTAGTGAGTGAATTTAGATGATTGGAATTATAAACGAGTGCATAGTCTTTCAACTTAAAATGCACAGAGTATATGTGACATAGCACCTCTGCCATGTTCTCTGACCTCAGCAGGGTAATCCAGAAGCTCCCTAGAGGTGATCTATTGGACTAACCCAATAGTTCTTTTCATAACCATGATTTGGCCATATAGGAGAAAAGCAACCACTTTTTCTTCTATCTTCCACTTTCAAGATGGCATTTGAGAACAAAAATGTCTCTTCTCAGGAGGAGAAAGTTTAAGTGTCATATAAAAAACTTGAGCTAATTTATATAAAAGGTGTTCAAAAATATGTCCAGAGAATTCCTCTTTTCCTTTCTCCTCCCTTCTCCTCTGCTTCTATGAATGACATGTTCTTAAATAGAGCTTGAGAGAACGGTCAGTAAGAGTATAGAAGTGAAAAGGCAGAAATGGAAGAAGATAAAGTCGAAAGATAGTATGAGATATCCAGCATCTTTTATCCTATTTCCCACTGCCTTCCTCCTGCAATGGGATTATATTAAATTCTTCTCTCTTTTTGCTGGATATCCCAACTCTCCTTGGTTTTAAGAAAATATGCTAACTTAGGGGTGAAAGGCAAGATAATTACTCTTGTTCAGGTAATACATATATCTCTTAATGTATAAGAACACAATAAATTGAGTTAACCAATAAAATATAGCTATGATTAAAATGGCAAGATGCTGTCCTGCTCTGAAATGAATTGTATTCAAGCTTTGATTTGAGACTGACTATATCAGGGAAATTTTTAAAAGTTCATGAATAGTTATGCATTATAGGTAACTTTAAGCTAAGTTATAATATTCTACTCCAAAAGTTTTCCTGAAAAATATCTGTGATCCTCATGCTAGATCAAGGAAAGTGATTGAAAGAAAAGTCCTGGTTGGATTCAGACACTTCCCTCCATTGATATCTGTTCTCTTCTTATCTTTCACCGTCCTGTATTAATGAAGTTACAGGGAAGACAAAAATAACTTTCTTGATAAAGGAGTTCAAAGAAGAAAAAAATAAATGAGCAAAGACTTATGTCAAAGAAGAAATCCCAGTGTATGTGGAAAGCACTAATCAAGGGAGGATTCAATCAAGGAAATTCAATAATGGGGATGTGGCAGATGGGGTAGGTGTTCAGTTTCCATAAGGAAGGATGCAATTAGGCACCAAAAAAAGGACTGCTTAAACAGAGAATGTTCTGGACTGTTTGGTCAAGAGACAGTTAAATAAAAGCATCGTTGTGACAGAAGATCATTCCTTAAATATGATTACATTATAAATGAAAATATAAGTATTGAATCCATATACATAAAATGGTCAATAGAATGTTAATTAGTGTATTTGTATCTGGGTTCTATAACTATTTAAGTACAGACTTGTAGTAGTTCAGAGAACTCAGGATTTGAAGTCAGAGTTCTCTACTCTAGCTTTAGCTCTCCCACTTATAGTAATAATAATTACTATAAGTGCTTGTGCCTCAATTTCCTCAATTGAAAAACAGAGGTAGAATGATGTTTTCCCAATATATTTCACTGAGCTTTGAGAGGATCAAATGAAAGAATGTTTATAAATGTATTTTAAAACCTAAATATATACTTACATTATTAATATTTCCTGAAGACAAATATAAATTGAGAATATTGGAAGGAAACATATCCTAAGGAGAGTTGCCCTTGGAAATCACTTTTGAGTTCAGATTTCATTAAATGATAGACTGATGCTAATAGAGGAGAAAGAAGTTGATCTTAAATAGCCTAAGAATGTATGTTTTTTCCTGATTATAGTCATTCTGAATTCTGTCTTTCATACCCTCAGCCTCTAGTTATAACACCTTAGAAGATCATTACATAATCTCTGCACTTTACAATAATCACAGGCCATAAGTTTTGCTATTAAAGTATAGATATGTCCCTAGAGTAGAGGAAGAGAGTCGGTGAAAGGAGAGAAGGGCATAGTAGATTGGAATAGAGAAAACTATGTTATATGCCTTTTTGAATATGTCAGAATTATATGTAACTATAATGCTCTAAAATTGTTTATATATATATATATATATATATATATATATATATATATATATATATATTCTTTTACTACACAAAGCCACTCTATATCACACATTTTTTAGAATTTTCTCATTTATAAGAATATAATTGTATAATAGAATTCTCTCATTTATAAGAATATAATTGTATAATTGACACAGGATCCTAAAAGAGAACAATGATAAATAAAAGTTTTGAATGACCATCCTGGAGGCTGTGGTATTTACTTTCTATCCAGAGCAAATAAAAAATGATTCAGTGACCGAGCCAGTTTTACTTGAACTAGCTCATAGTTTTGGTTCCTCAACCAATAACTAGGTGTTATCAATAGTGATATTAGTCACACATTCCTGGGTGTTAATAAATAAAAACTGGTCATAAGGTGTGATTCATAAACATAAGCATTAAACAGGACCCAGGAGTAAACATTAACCTACATAATCAAAACTCCATCAGGGAGTATCAGTTGAGAATTAAGTGGTAGATGTATTAAGAAACAGTTTATATTAAAGAAAAATAATAGATAAGATGCAAATAATTGCAACATATTTTGTTGAGTTTGGCATAAACAAAAGATGCTTTCTGTAGAGGAGGTCTATGCAAGAATGTTAGTGTTATTCTTAATATTTTTTTATTTGCTACAAATTTTGCCCATGCATCACATCAGTGCATCTAAAGATACAAAAGTCTCTGAATGGTTCTATGAATTTTCATTTCTTATCTGTATGTGTCATATTACAGAAGGAAAACAGTTATCCTTCAGTACAAAAATAGGATGAAGGGAGATGAAGTTTAGGAAAAATAGTAAATTGAATTTATA